GATTTGATCGGAATGCTCTCGTGCTGAATTTCTTTTCTCCCACAGAGAGTGCCAGGTGTCCCCCTGGTTGGATACCTAGTTTAGAATCAGCATACTTTATCAAGATGCGTTTGCCGAGTGCCAATTAGACGACCGTTGGCGTTTCATTTCTCCCGAAGGATGGAGGGTAACTCCATCGGGCTTTTAAATACGTAGTGCCACTTGGTTTGACTTTCTTTTCATCTCCCTTCTAAATCCAATGGGTATTCCCCTCCCGTATCCCTTTGATCAACAGCGACACCACTATGTGACTCTGTCACGACCCCGATGGCTACGACCTCTAGAAAATCTTACAAGAGAGGGTACACTGAATTGTATACACGTTTTAAAGTACCCAGTTGAGAATAGGTACCACTCGAGTCAATCGGTTGCGATCTTCTTTTAGGTTGTATGGTCTCACGTCCGGACGAGCAATAATGAACCCGCATTAGGGGAGAAATCTTTCTTGGGGAAGCACTGGGAGTATTGGGAATATGCCACACCCGTTGCCTGAATGACTAAAGGATCAAGTCATTATTTTTTAATTTATGAGTTTGAAATTTTTTTTACTAAAATTTCGGATAGTCCTTTTGGAAATTTTTACCGCATTATGGTTTCCAAAATTTCACGGAATTTCATCACTGATAATTCAAGTTCATAGATGAATTTTTCCTGTTGTCCAAAAATTTTGAATTTCGTTTAGTTTTCAGTGAATCTTCACTAAAAGCTACCTACTTCAATAAATAAAACTGTTGAATTGAAATTAATGCAAAGATTCCAATTAATCTTCATTTAAAAACTAATCAATTATATTTCATTATATTTAACGAATTTTTATAGCTTCAAATGAAAATCAACTCCTTAATTATCACCATAGTTAGACAAATGTTCGACGACATTTTACATGATGAATAAAATATTAATAACTGTAATGAATAATTCTGTCTCCCTCGCTGCGAAGCTCCCTTCACCAGAGAAAATCCCCGATTAGAAAATCCGAAACACAAATACATGTTTCGTATTATAAAACGGAAGGGGACCAGAAAGAGCCCAATAAACATTCATGTATGCCAGTCGTCGTCGGGCGTATCCCAAGTATATCCCACCTACGTGACAATCGCGTGAACCTGTCACACGAAAGAGAAGAGGTTATAAAAAATCCCGTCGGGCGTGATTCGAGGGCGCAGAGAGGAAGCTGATGAATCAGAATGGATTTTTTATTCTCCATCCGAATGAGATAAAGAGGCAGGTAATTTCGTTACAAAGCACCCCACACGTTGGACACTGCCCTCCCTCCCTCCGTTTTCTATTTTTTTTTTCTACATTTCATTTCATATGTAAAAGTGGTGGAGGCTCAGCTGGACCTGAATACGATGTTTGGTACGTGAAAAAAAAAGAACCTGGGGCGTGATACTGAATCAAGACGTGCTGTAATAAAGGATGCTGGCGATGCTGAAAAGGAGCGTGGGACAGAGACTTAAAAATTTCTCAAGTAACTTTAACCTGTTGAACAATGAAGTGAGGAAAAGAAATAGCGCAGAGATGACCCCGTGAGAGGTAAGAAAATGAGCATTTCAACATGGTGCACACGATATATGGAAACCTGACCTCATGTCTTTTCGCCTAATTTAACTGGGCAGAGGGGTTGCATTAAACCGCAACCATTATCGGTGAACATCAAAGGGAGAATGCCGAGACAATGAGACGTGAAATAGATAGGCTACTGGGATACTACAACGGTGGAAGATAAAGATGAGAAAAAATATTGGGTAGATGGAAGAAAGCGTGCACTCACCCGGTTCACTGTAATCCCGGTGGCGGGGTTTTCTCGTGATCTTTTTGAGATGATGGTACTGGACAATCCCACGGGTTTTCAAATTTAGTCCTATCCAAATACAGGTGAAATGCGGAGTATGAGAGTGGATGAAAAAATATTCTGGATTTTTTCGGAAGGAGGGTATTTTTAGGAATCATTATTGTTGTTGATGATATCTTGAATTCTATACTTTGATATATCTTGCTGTACTTTATTGCTAGACTTTGCCATATTTTGCTATCCCTTTCCATACCTTGTTATGCTTTGCTACACCTTGCCTTACCTTGCTGTACTTTATTATACTTTCTTAAACCTTGTCATAGCTTCCTATACTTTTCTATGCTTTGCTTTACCTTGCTGTTCTCTGCTGTACTGTTCTATACCTTGTCATTGCTTACTATGCTTTCCTATGCTTTGCCTTACCTTGCTGTACTTTGCTATACTTTCCGAAACCTTGTCATAGCTTCTTATACTTTTTTATGCTTTGCCTTACCTTGCTGTACTTTATTATACTTTCTTAAACCTTGTCATAGCTTCCTACACCTTTCTATGCTTTGCCTTACCTTGCTGTACTTTATTATACTTTCTTAAACCTTGTCATAGCTTCCTACACCTTTCTATGCTTTGCCTTACCTTGCTGTACTTTGTGATACTTTCCCAAACCTTGTCACAGCTTCCTATACTTTTCTATGCTTTGCTTTACCTTGCTGTTCTCTGCTATACTGTCCTATACCTTGTCATTGCTTACTATGCTTTCCTATGCTTTGCCTTACCTCGCTGTACTTTGTTATACTTTCCTAAACCTTGTCATAGCTTCTTATACTTTTTTCTGCTTTGCCTTACCTTGCTGTACTTTGTTACACTTTCCTAAACCTTGTCATGCTTGTTATACTTTGCTATACTTGGCTTTACCTTATTATACTTTGCTATACTTTGCCTTACCTTGTTATACTTCTCCCTATTTTGTTATTCCCTATCATAGTTTCCTTTCCTATCCTTTCCTGTCCACTCTCTCACTTCACAATACTACCTAAGTGAGCGATGCGATGGCTCCTACAACAAAATGGTACCCCAAAAGTCCCTCATTATAAACCAGCTAATTTTCATCGAAAAGAATCCGAACAATGAGGCCTCATCACAGCGCAAAATTCAAATTCACTTGACCTAAGATGACTGCCCCGCGCCCAGTTGTAACAACGTCTCCCATGCCATACCTCACACACTTTTGTGCCACATTCCCCAAAGAAGATTCATTACAAAATCGACAAAAGTCATGACTCTGCTGAATTATTAAGTAGTCACTTCAATATATCAATGCGCCATTTGAATGGTGATACAATGTCAAATTGCGAATAGATATACTACGCTCATACGCAATGATTTCGTAGCGTACAACATCTATTAGCGAGTCATGCGCTTCCTTGACTCCATCAACACTGACATTTGTCAGTTCATACTGTGTAACGTCACGCAGAATAATAAAAGACCCTCACTTTCGCTACCTCCCATGTACCGAGATATTGCACAAGCCATGAAGAGGGATAATGTAAATAATCCTGTGATGGGCACTCGAGTCTCGTTTTAAATGATAATTACGTCTATTCACCTGTAATTGGTGTCTCAGAATCATTAGGGTGGCAGGGGGAGGGGAGGCGGAGCTGGCATTTGGAGTTTTGAAATTCAAATTGTCATTTGAATTGAATGAGAACGGTGATAAGGAGGAAATGCAGGGCTTCTGTTCCTTAATCCCGCGTACTCTTATGGATCGCTGGGACTTCTAATGCGTCCCGCAGGTAACCCACAATGAGACTAATCCGAAAAATTAATTCTCCACCTTGTGTGCCAGGTGTCGATCGAATGGGCTGCTCGTTACCTGTTTTATAGCGTCTTGGAGCCAACATATGTATGCATGTGTGGCTACATCTTCCAAGACGGGGATGCGGGGGTAATTAAAACAAGCGTGACGCGGACTAAATGCTTCCGGCTGAAGCCGGAAGGTTTGGTCATTGAAAAAATTTCGGGGGTAACCCTTTTTTCTTGCAGGAAGAGAAAAAATTGGGTTGGAAGGAACATTGAGTTTTTCATTAGTACTTCCTCTTCAGGTATATATCAATACATCAATCATCATAAAAAAATTAATATCTTTTAGGTCTTTAAATTGTCTACTATTTTTTTGTCGTGAAGGGTTTTAAAAAATGTTCATTCGCAGTGGAAAAAAATTTAATTTCTGAAAATTCATTCAGCATCGTCTTCACATGTGTTACGTGGCGGTTGCATACGAGTGTATATTATAGTGGAAACAGTGAGGGTCAACCTCGTCGACTTGATGTTCCACAGGCTACGCGAATTCCTGACCCCGGGGTTCAGGTACACACAGGACGAATATAAGACGAGTCTTGTATATGAGGGAGAGAGGAGAAAAAAAATGCCAGCGAGAGGTTGTAGAGAGGAGTCGAAGGGGGGCAGAGGGGAGGGGAATACCGAAAGAAGAGAGAGTGAGGTGTGTGGGTCCTCGGTTCGGAGAGCGAACGAAAACCGCATTCCAATCCGTACGAATTCCCCGGACATGCATATATCGACTCTTTTCGTGAGTATTCTACCCCCAAAACTCAAATTACGATTTAACTCAAATACAATGCCTCATAAAATTATCATGAAACAGTTGCTGGCATTCCTGGAGGGAGAGAGGGGAATTTCACTGTTTCAGTTTTTATTATTCAGTTGTTATTGTTGAGATCAATAGCATGTGGATGATAAATTATAAAATATTCCGGATTGATCGAAAATAAAAGAGATTATTCAATAATATTAGTATTGTTGCAGTATCTAATAAACTTCAATTTTTGCACGAAATTAATCAAATCATTATATTTCAATTTGAATATAATAAAATATGATCATGAGAATAATATTATCCATAAAAATAAATCGATTCGGAAGCCTGCATCAGCCCATACTTTCTACCCCGATCCTATCACACGCTTGTGACATTCAGAAGCTAAATTGAATTTCATTTCGCGTATAGAAATTCTATTTACCAATCATCATATACAAATGACATTTATATTTGAATGTAACTTCAATTTATCAAAATATTCAATCAATTCCTCGTTCCTCATTTCTCGATGAATGAAAAAAAAAATGAGTTGAAAAATCAGTAACTCACATATGTGCACGCAACTGTGGGAAAGCCTCTCGATGATTCTTCGCAGGGGTTGTCCCAGATTGTGCTTGACTGACGGAGTGACTAAAGCTGAGAGTATGTTTATGGTTAAATACTGTTTTACCTTCGACTACTGAATGTTTGAGGAAACAAATTCATTAGTACTTTGTAGTCGCCATAACATACTGCACTGTTATCAGGAACTCCCACTCTGACCGGTGTTTCGTCACGTTTTTCTATTCATAAATATTTACATTCATCAGTTTGAGGTGAAATGTGAACGAATAATAGTCTGAGATTATTGCTGATGATAAGAGATTTGATAATATTTTATTTTGTTTAAATAACTAGCTCAAGGGGAAAGATGAATACGTCAAGTGTTTATTCAGTAGTGATTATTCGTTTATTTATAATTATTCCGCCAATTTTTAACTTATTCATTCATTTTTATTTACGAAATTGAAGGTCACTCGTCCTTGGCATAATTATGATAAAACATGTAAAACATAAGAGGAAATGATAAGAAATTATCTCTACCCCCTAACGGATATGGAGAACAGGAAAAATAATAAAAATGCCAAATAAAAAAGGTTTAATGTCAGGGAATCATTTCCCCGACTGACTCCAATAAAACCGATACAGCCTGCATCCCAGAACGTCTCTCTTACGTTTCACCTTTTCGTCCTAATCGTGATTATATTATGCGCCATATCATATATACGTAAAACAGTGTACATTGAATGATTTTAATATGTATTTGTATCGTAAACGTGAACACGATTAACCGTGAGGGAGATATGGTGAGGCAAGCATTCACCTTCGACTTCTGGGATGCTGGTGTCCCCCTCCGTGTGAACTCCTCTTCCCAGCTTCGAATGCAATACAGGTGGCCCACGGGTTGAGGGCTAGGCGAAAGTGACATTGTCACGGGTTTAGGGAGTTTTTATGCTGTTATCGAGTGAGAGAAGAATTTATGCACTTCATGATGAGAGAATGGATGAGATTTAGGAGTTCAGTTACCAGAGGGATAGAGAATTTTTAGGTGGATTTTAATGCAGAATTTAGTGTTGAAATTTCATCTAAAATTTGATGCTGGAATTTCGTGCAGAATTTCATGCTGGAATTTCGTGCAGAATTTCATGCTGGAATTACATGCAGAATTTCATGCTGGAATTCCATACAGATTTTTATGCTGAAACTCCATACAGAATGTTATGCTGGAATTCTGTACAGAATATCATGCTAAAATTCCGTTGTGAATTTCATGCTGGAATTCCATTGTGAATTTCATGTCGTAATTTAATGTAGAATTCCATGACAAAATTCCACGCAGAATTCTATGCTGGAATTTAATGCTGTAATTGCCCCCCTAAAAAGCAATCTTGCATCTGATAAAATTCCTTTCTACAATACATCTCGCGCCACTGGAGCTAAATAGGGGATTTTTCTAATATTTCACCTTAAAATGATCGCCCCCCTCATTCGAGATTTATTTCCAAATAAATACATATGGCACCGCAATCCGACATAATGATCCGATTAAAGAGGTCATTACATGTAAATCTGACCCACGGGACACAGTGCACAAATACACATGCTATTCCCAACAGGGAGTCATGTGAGCGAAGGTGCACTGGCCAGTTTAACTTCATTGCGAGAGTGCGCACGCTGCCTCGTCCCGGAGTCTTAATATAATAATATACACGGCGGCGTATTATGGCAGGACGTGATTATATGGCGGGCAAAAAACGTAACAAGGTAATATACCGGTGGGATACACCATGCTGTTGGTACCCCAATGGGTGGCTCTCGTTGAGTTTCGTACGTATGCTGATGGCCCAACGGTGTTATATCTTTTTCTTTATTATTCATTCTGCCTCGTCTTCCTTGATTCACTGGCTCGCCGGGACGACGGGGTCTGGGCGAGGGGTCATACATCGGGTTTTTTCGCCTTCATTAAGCGCAAAGGGTTATTAAAAAGTTTTTTGAGGAATGGGCTACATTATTCTTTAACATTTCGCTGGTTCAGGGGGTAATGGGAAATTGTTTTTGTCTCTGGAGCTGAGGAGATTGGAGAGGGCAGGACGTGTCATTGGAGAGATTTCACCGAAATTTCAGCCTAAATGGAGAAAACAACAAAACTCTTTGAAATTTGAAACATCCAATTAATTTTTTTTTTTGTAAAATTGTCGCATTATGACATGAAATGACAGAGGAATTTCTTATTTTATTAATAATTCAAAATTACGTATTCACAGGTTTATAAAATATTTTGGTCTACTTTATAAGTCAAATTTCAAGTGCGAATACAAAAAACACGAAATGACGTTTGAAAAATAGCGCGAATATTCTGTCCTCCGAATTTTCTCAAGAAAAAAAAATTTTCTCCCCGCGAAATTTCGATGTTCGCCTGGAAAATGAGTCAACAATTTCCTTGAATACAAATATTTTCTGGGAAAATGTGTAACCCTTGTGACACCGTAACCGTGGAAATTCATATTATGAAGAGTATTGGGGGCAGGATACAGTGGTATCAATGGATCCAGTGGGGTTGAGTATTTCCCATGCTAACCAGTGGCCGCAAGGTGGTCCACAGGCACTAAACTAAAAATATTGTGTATTCACACCCCCCTCTTTTCCCAAGTCTCTCATCTAGACTCCCATGGGGTGCCCTCGGAGGATGAGCACCTGCCACAGTATAGCTGGGAGCCACCTTTGCTTCCTCCGAACACTCAACCTTGTGAAAATCAGTGCTAGTTCCTCTCGTCTTTCAATGCAGAGAAAAAATGCCGAAGGTGAACAGCTGGGGGAGGGAATGGGGAGCACCATTCGGATGGGATAAAGAGGGGTTAATTAATTTGTGGGGTGGGGTTGGATAATCAATGTTTGTAGACGGCCATCGATCTTTTACCACTTTCCCACGTAAACGAATTTATACCGTGACTGGTCTAATCACCGTCCCGCAGGAGTGGAGTAAGATTGAAGTCTCACCGAACTGTGTGTAACGACGGACCCGAGTGATCATTGAGAGGAGATTACCCGCGCTGATGGGAGTGTAGAAAATTCACGGGAGACATTTCACTGGGTGAAGTGCAGGAGATAAGGGAATGGAAAAATTGGAATTTCTCAGGATATTTTTCTTCTTTGGGGAGGTGATAACTCCCGAGGTTATTCAGGTGTTTTTTTCGGTTTTGGATGAATTTAGTTAAAGCGAGGAAAATTCCAAAGCATTAATTGACTATTTGAATGCATTTTTTCCTGAAAAGTAATTTTTTTCTGCAAAATTCCATAAAAATTCATAGAAGGTTTCTAATTATTCCATGAATCTTCCTAAAAAAATAGACTATCAATTTTATTTTAGAATTTCGGAATGTCTCTTAACAGTTTAAAATTAAGAATGAAATAAAGACCTTTAAAATTTTGAGTGCATCGTTGAAATTTTTTGCTGAAATTTCCTCTACATTTCTTGGAAATTTATATCACATTACAGTTTCTCTGAAATTTCAAGGGATTTCGTAATTTAAAATTCAAAATTTCATGGTAAATCAATGGAAACTGGAAATTTCAGTTCAGTGATTCCCTGAAAATTAACAGCAATAGGAACAATTCAGGTCAATTAATGAAAAATTCAAGTATTTGAGTAATTCCTGCACGGAGAAAAAAAATGGAGAAAAATTTTTCTGCAACAGAGAATAATTTTTGCATTCATAGGTGTTCTTTCATTGAATTACATTTCGATCCACAATTCCCTTTCATTCAGTAAAATTTTCCACGATTTTCTAGATAATTTTTATCCAACTTCTCACCGTGTGTCTCCCAACTGCTCAAAAATTTCGAATTTCATTCAATTTCCAACGAAATCTGAAATTTCATCTTCAAATTGAAGATTAATAATCAAATGTCCATGAAATTTCAATTTTACTTTTACTGCTGAAGTGTTAACTAGGGTCAAATGGGTTCAAATAGAATTTCTGACGTATAACATCCATGCAATATTTTTTGTATTCAATAATTTGTTATTCTCTTCCTGCATTTGTTCTGTAATTGAGGTATTCCACGAAAATACCACAATGTCAAGATATTTCTCAGGTGATGTTGGCATATAACGTGTCTTGTCCCCAGTCGACAAGCCAGCCAACTTGCATTTTATCGACGTCACATCGGGTCTCATCGATTCACCTCAGATTTATAGCGGTAACATGTTAAACCAATGGTGGCTTCGGTACAAACACCAGTTTATTTGAAAAAGGAGGGCGCAAGCGAAACGGGGTCTAAACCGACACGTACCGACGTATCACGCTTCAACTGAGTCAAAGCGTGTATGCAAGACGACAAGATAGAATCTAACTACGACTTCTCGCGGGGGTATCGGCTAATCCCTCTACCACTACCGCTCCACCTTTCGTTAAAACGACATCGCGGTGTGGACCACCAGCGACGATAATTATTGTCGTTACGTATTGGCTGGTTATTTGCATGGACGAGTACACTGTTTCATATGGATGGAAGGGAATATCTTGATTTCAATTCCCGGGGAAAAGGAATTATTCACTCAGTTCGGTGAGAAAATTGCTTTCGCAATTTTTATGGCTGTTCAGGCGAATGATAAAAGGCTCCTTATGATTTTTAACCCCTTCATGGAATCGGGGATTCAGTGAAATTGTTCAGTATAACTTATCAGTGGAAATTTATTCAAATACATGTGCTTTTGAACATTTTCGACATGTTCCTGTCACGGATTCGGGTGCAATTCTTCAGGAAAAGAGAATCTTATTGAAATTTTCAAGTATTCGATAGGGGAGGGTGGGGCAAAACGGCCCCCCTTCAATTGTCAATAACTTGTGAATGACAGTATGAAAATTCCCAGTTTCAACTTCATTTTGAAGATAATTTTTCATTCTTCAAAACGAGCTCTAACTCATCCCAATCGGATTATTGAATCGGAAAATATTGACGATTGAAGGGGGGCCGTTTTGCCCCATCCTCCCCTATTATTTAATTTCATGTAAATTACATACTGGAATTGAATTCTGAAATTCTATATGAGAATTTAATGCTGAAATTCCATATTG